ATATTTATTGGCGAAATTGTAAAGCTGTCATTCACAACTACACTTGAAAATCAAGATTATTTTTTTTATTTTGTGTATATATGTCTGTTACTGCTGAAACGTGCCTTTGTCCTTTCCACTCAATGCTGAAGTTTTGTACGTGAATTCTGCCGGCGCTTAAATACCCCGAATCCATGACGTGCTTAAGTGGTGGCTTTAGGACTTGAAGCAAGGGAACGGTTCGTTTTTGTCGTTTAAGCCAGATAATGGGAATATGCCATGAAAACCTACTGTAGCGTTTCTGATCAAAGGGTTGAATATAAAAATCTGCATTTCAGTTTACCTTGGTATTTTGTACATATGCAGGCACTGCTCTCGGGATGCTCGAAGACGACCGAAAGGGATGTAGAACTTGAGACTTCGAGGGAGACGTTCTTTGGGGGATTTGGGGCTTCTTAACACAGAATAGTTACAACTTCACTATCAGGTTCTTTCCTCGTACTTGTACTCTCTACGGTGGCCTTCATCTTCTTCAGTAGATGCACTCTCGATTCATAATAGCTTAGTTCCTTTTCCAGGTGCTGAAACAGAACTGAACTGAACGACATGTCTTCGTTTTGTTAGAGTACGATCAACCTTATTGGCAGCTTCACTCTGCTGCATCAACATTGTGATTTCGAGAAGTTTCGTCTGAGCCGTTTCTATCAAGCTCTTCAAACGATCGAGACGAGAATTATACTCCACTAAAATACGAGTTTAGAGAACTTCAGACGCAGCAGGTTTCACGGTTACGTTGGACGTTTTCCTTGGCGCCACATTTGAGCAGAAGTCTCGTAATTTCCTGGTGGTTCAGCATTGTCGATACGTCCAGGAGAGTGAATTCGTCTTTGTTCTTTCTAAATAAATCTTTTTTTGATCAGTCCACAATGAAGTGCTGCCGCTAATCTTTTTAAATGTTTGATAAATTTCTGACCATATAATCCATTTCACACGATTGCTGGATATCGACCGAGAAAACTTAGGTCCAAGTGAATCCTTCGGTTCAAACATCCCACTAGGTTTTCGCTTAAGCCTAGAGCTAGTCATGGGCTTCGTGTTGGTCTTAGACTTAGGCGTAAGCTTAATCTGAGCCTTTGGTTCAGGCTAAGGATTAGTCATAGGTTGTAGCTGAAATTTAGCCTTAAACTTTATCCTAGGCCTGGTGCAAATATACTGAAGGAGTCTGTTCCAGACTCCATCTGTCTTTCGCTGAAGCTCAGACTCTGGCACAGGATCAGGAACGTTGGAAGCTCTGACTGACGTATCTGCCTCCGCGACCCGAAAGGAGATGCGGCGATGGAGGACGAAGATGACTTAATCCTAGGCATTGGCTCAATCTTAGGTTTCAACTTTTGACCAGGCTTAAAGATAAGAATAACTTTAAGCTTAAGGTTAGGATTACACTGACGCTTAGTCTCACGAATAGGCTTGAGCTTGTCTTTCGACTAAGATTTAGGATTTGGTTTAGGTTTAGGCACGAGCCATAGCATAATCATAATTTCAGCTTACCGCTTGGTTTGAGCTTCATTTTATGCTTACGCTTCAGAAGTTTACGATAAGACTTATCCTTAGGTCTCAGACAAGGCTTGAGCTTATGGTTGCGCAGAGACAAAGTCTTAGGCTCACGCTTGACCTTAGGTTCAGGTTTACATCTACACTTAATCCTAGACTTAATCCTCGGCTAATAATTAGGCTCAAGTGTAGGCTTAGCCTCAGGCTTAGGCCAAATTTTAGGCTTAAGCCTATGATCACCGTTTGGTTTAGACTGAGTGTTAGACCTATTCCTGAGCTTGGGATTAGGATTATTTTTCAGCTTACCATTAAGCTGAAGTTTAGGTTTCAACTTAATCTTTATGTTAATCTTATCTTGCACTGACGCTTAGGTTTAAACTTATACTTAGGCTCAGGGTTAGTCTTCAGTTTACGATTCAGCTTAATTTTAGGTTACAGTTTAAATTTAGCCTTAATATGTGACTTACGCTTAGGCTTAAGAATACGGCTTGGTTCTAGGTTAGATCTCATTTTAGACTGAAGTTCAGGGTAAGGCTTTGATTTAAGCTTAAACTTTGTCATATGCTTAGGCTTAATCTTTGGATGAGGCTTAGATTTTGGCCTATGACTAGTCTTACGTTAGACATACAGTTGAGTTTAGGCTTAGGCTTTATCTTAATCCGAAACTCAACAGGTACTGGCCTTGGGATCAGGCAGCGGTGATCCAATATGAAAAACAAATCAATCAAGAATTCAAAAATATGAATACTGGATATCCACGAAAAATTATCATTGCGGATGCAAGTACCAGCAAAAAAAATTTCTCTGAAGAACTTGCCGCATTACGTGAGTAAACGAGGTTCAGGTCAGGATGACAATCGGAGTGATTGGAAATTCACTTGGTTAATGGCTTCAATTTTTGCAAATCGACAGATCAGTATTGCGTAATTTTGACTCGTCTTCCTGATGTCAGATAGAAAAACTCCGAGAAGCAGTTATTTTCATAAATTCACGCTGTAGGCAGCCAAACGATCTACTGTGGTCCAGATGGCTCAGATACATTGATACGCGACAAAAGCATGCTTTGTCACCTGACTCGTAGATCTTACCAGACTTGAAAATGTCCTCCCTAACGAGCTGCGTTCGTAACGTGAGTTTAATAATGAAATTTGACAGATGGATTGACAGTTCATTCTCTTCCGCAACAAGAAAACAAACGACACATTAATCAGATAAACTCGACACCTCATTTGTAACTTCCATTCATCCTCTATTTCATATGAGTGTGTGTTTCATTATATTTGATAGCCGGTGAAATAAAAAGCCTGGGGAATCAACTCTCACAAGACAGACATGAAATATATTTAACATATGCCGTACGGTGGAGATAATCTTGTAAGAGGATTATTCCTGATATTTTGAGTCAATCAGAAGAGGATCGTACTCAAACTGCATAAATGAGGAATGACATGGAAAATGACGTAGACGTTTTCGACTGTGTCTTACAAATTAAGTTCAGAATGTTTGCTCCTGAGATAAATGGGAATTATGAACTACAGCGATGACATGGGATACGCAATAAATAGAATGTTGAGAGGTCGTGAAACAGACTGAAGCGCCTGAGGCCTGTTCCTCGCCTAATGGTAGCTGAGATCGGAATACGCACCTCGAGACCACGGGCTAGTTGATAAATCTTAAATTTCAATCTAACCTTGTACTCACATGTAACCACGGAATTAAGGAAGAAATATCTGTGAGTTAAATTCTTCGTGTTCTTCATAATGCATAGAAATATTAACCCAACAACTTACTGAGCCGAAAGAAACGTGCATGAAAACAAGCAGGTCATTGAATTAATGAAAGCCGTTTCAATTCAACTGTCAGTCACAAAACAGTCTGTAATATATTCATTAAAGACCGTTAATTTGGACACGCCAATGGAGTCTGTCATCAAGTGAGAAACATTTCTCACCTTTGTCAAAGACAACCTCAGTCAAATGCCCTTAGACTCTATCTAGAAGTTCAGCCAGTCAGCCGTAAGATCGAGAATCTTGATTCCTATGCTGATTTTGTTCTGAACGCATCGATAAGGGGGAATTATGCATCTAATTAAGGAAGGAAATTTTGGTCGTTTGGATATTCACTCTTATACTCAGTTTTTTCTATGTATCTGTAATACATGCACCATAGCGGATGAGACTCCAGAATTCCCCCTCCAACCTCCTTGGGTTGAGTTTGGTTAACATTACACCTTCATAAGCTAAACGTAATGGTTTAAAACAAAAGCATCGCTTAACGTACACGTTCAGATAACCTGATTTGTGGCGAATTATGCTGCGTACACGGCCGATGTCGTCTTGTTCCACCGCGGTGAAAAGGTCTGAAAAATGAAGGCATTAAACATGGACTACTGCAACGATAAAAATGACGCTTCCGTGATGCTAAACACCAGAAATGGACAGATGATAAAATATTCATTACTACTGTCGGCTGCTCAGTCAAATGCGTTGCCAGCCTCTGATTATTCCACCTCATTTTCTCTTGAGGGCGTCAGTCAAGTTTGGCTGAAACGCTGGGAGTTCTAATGAAAGTTTTGTCACCATTCTCGCTTGTGT